ATGCCCCACACAGTGGTTGTATGTACACATGCCCCACACTGTAGTTGTATGTACACATGCCCACACTGTAGTTGTATGTACACATGCCCCACACTGTAGTTGTATGTACACATGCCCACACTGTAGTTGTATGTACACATGCCCCACACTGTAGTTGTAGGTACACATGCCCACACTGTAGTTGTGTGTACACATGCCCCACACAGTGGTTGTATGTACACATGCCCCACACTGTAGTTGTATGTACACATGCCCACACTGTAGTTGTATGTACACATGCCCACACTGTAGTTGTATGTACACATGCCCCACACTGTAGTTGTATGTACACATGCCCACACAGTGGTTGTATGTACACATGCCCACACTGTAGTTGTATGTACACATGCCCACACTGTAGTTGTATGTACACATGCCCCACACTGTAGTTGTATGTACACATGCCCCACACTGTAGTTGTATGTACACATGCCCCACACAGTGGTTGTAGGTACACATGCCCCACACTGTAGTTGTATGTACACATGCCCACACTGTAGTTGTATGTACACATGCCCACACTGTAGTTGTATGTACACATGCCCACACTGTAGTTGTATGTACACATGCCCCACACAGTGGTTGTATGTACACATGCCCACACTGTAGTTGTATGTACACATGGCCCACACTGTAGTTGTATGTACACATGCCCCACACAGTGGTTGTATGTACACATGCCCCACACAGTAGTTGTATGTACACATGCCCACACTGTAGTTGTATGTACACATGCCCCACACAGTGGTTGTATGTACACATGCCCCACACAGTAGTTGTATGTACACATGCCCACACTGTAGTTGTAGGTACACATGCCCCACACTGTAGTTGTATGTACACATGCCCCACACTGTAGTTGTAGGTACACATGCCCCACACTGTAGTTGTATGTACACATAGCCCACACTGTAGTTGTATGTACACATGCCCCACACAGTGGTTGTATGTACACATGCCCACACTGTAGTTGTATGTACACATGCCCACACTGTAGTTGTATGTACACATGCCCACACTGTAGTTGTATGTACACATGCCCCACACAGTGGTTGTATGTACACATGCCCACACTGTAGTTGTATGTACACATGCCCACACTGTAGTTGTATGTACACATGCCCACACTGTAGTTGTATGTACACATGCCCCACACTGTAGTTGTAGGTACACATGCCCCACACTGTAGTTGTATGTACACATGCCCCACACTGTAGTTGTATGTACACATGCCCACACTGTAGTTGTATGTACACATGCCCACACTGTAGTTGTATGTACACATGCCCCACACTGTAGTTGTATGTACACATGCCCACACTGTAGTTGTATGTACACATGCCCACACTGTAGTTGTATGTACACATGCCCCACACAGTGGTTGTATGTACACATGCCCACACTGTAGTTGTATGTACACATGCCCCACACTGTAGTTGTAGGTACACATGCCCACACTGTAGTTGTGTGTACACATGCCCACACTGTAGTTGTATGTACACATGCCCCACACTGTAGTTGTATGTACACATGCCCCACACAGTGGATGTATGTACACATGCCCCACACTGTAGTTGTATGTACACATGCCCACACTGTAGTTGTAGGTACACATGCCCACACTGTAGTTGTGTGTACACATGCCCACACTGTAGTTGTATGTACACATGCCCACACTGTAGTTGTATGTACACATGCCCCACATTGTTGCTGTATGTACACATGCCCCACACTGTGGTTGTATGTACACATGCCCCACATTGTTGCTGTATGTACACATGCCCCACACTGTAGTTGTATGTACACATGCCCCACACTGTAGACTTTGTAGGTACACATGCCCCACACTGTAGTTGTATGTACACATGCCCCACACTGTAGTTGTATGTACACATGCCCCACACAGTGGTTGTATGTACACATGCCCACACTGTAGTTGTATGTACACATGCCCCACACTGTAGTTGTATGTACACATGCCCCACACTGTAGTTGTATGTACACATGCCCCACACAGTGGTTGTATGTACACATGCCCCACACTGTAGTTGTATGTACACATGCCCCACACAGTGGTTGTATGTACACATGCCCACACTGTAGTTGTATGTACACATGCCCCACACTGTAGTTGTATGTACACATGCCCCACACTGTAGTTGTATGTACACATGCCCCACACTGTAGTTTGTACACATCATCAATGGATGAATGATAAATTAATTAATAAATCTTGATTTTGTACCCTGAAGAATGCATTAACTTTTTCATTTAGTACATGTGACTTTATGTTTAAAACAACATATATCTGTTTCACAGAAAAATATTATTCTTCAAAATGCTCAAATTACCCTTCAGTAACATCTTTTGTAGTTTGGTTACAACAAATAGATTCAATAACATCATAATTAGATGAAAAATGTCTGTTAAGAACTATTTCAGACAGTCACTGTGACATGCATCATAATTCATGTACTCCTGCCTAAATGACCGACTTGATTAAAGTTTTCCAAACGTTTTGCAAAGTTGTCAATAAACCTGTCATGATCATGTGCTTGTCATCATATTGAAGTAAAGATTGATTCATTGATTGCTGTAGAATGCGTTTGACTGTTGCTGTCAAGTCTAGGCACAGTTCTAGTCGATAGTTTTGGTGTGTATTTCTTCTTTCTGTGACTGGGTGGGTCGGGTGGCCTGGTGTCATGCTGTCATGCTGAAGACCCTGGTTCCCTTCCCAACATGGGGACAATGTGTGAAGACTATCAGGTGTCCCCCGCAGTGATATTGCTGGAATATCGCTAAAAGCGGCGTAAAACTATACTCACTCACACATCTGTGACTGGGATGGATTGTAGCGAGGACATTCAATGTCAGACATGCAGTCTAACACTCTGACTCTTTCCTTTGTATGATTAAACCCTGAGTTAAAAATTAAACTGTCTAAATGATCAGAAATAACGCTTTACAATCCCTTTCGTTTCCCTAGGATTGTGGAAGTAGACAGCAAGTGTTTATGCCACTTCAAGCATACGGTCTCATGAAAAATGTATGAACACCAAAATTTGTCAGTCATACACTTATGAACCTGCGTTTCACATTCATGTGAACAGCCTCTCCTCCGATAGAAGACCTGTTTACAAAGTTAACTTCACATCAAAAAGTTATTCCACAATGATCTGCCCTTCATAGTTCAGTGGTCGTCCATACACCTCTGTTTCTCTTACACAAGTTGAATAATAGAGAGAAACTTTTCACAATTGTTGATGTAAGTGTCAGTGGCTTTAATTTGATGCCATAAAACCTTTTTGCTACTTACAATCACTGATTTGAACATCATACAAGTTTGAAGGTGATAGCTCACCTGAATACCCACCAAACGGTAGGTAGCAGGAAGAGTGTTCATATGAAATATTATTGTTTGCATTATGTCAAGGGAGACTGACACACGGCTTTGTTAAATGTTAGACACGCTGCTGTTTGGTTTTTATTGTATATTTGAGTAAATCAATGTAATGCATTATTAAGTGTATTTACAGCATTGATGAAATTGCCTCTGTAAGAGCTTCTGTTGTTCCCAAGTCCATATTTAAAACCAGTTAAGTCCACAAAAACAATGAATAATTTGGTTCACTGTTAACTGTTTACATGTTTGCTTGTTACTCTGTCTGTCTTTCTGCACATAAGGGGCGGTCGGGTAGCATAGTGGTAAAAGCGTTCGTTCGTAACGCCGAAGACCCGGGTTTGATTCCCGACAATGTGTGAAGCCCATTTCTGGTGTCCCCCACCATGATATTGCTGGAATATTGCTGAAAGAGGCGTAAAACCCTACTCACTCACTCCCTCACTTTCGGCACATACATAGCATCTTCAATGTATCCAGCTCCTTGTGAGAGGTATAAGTTGGTCCAAGGCACAAACGTCCATGTATTGTTTGTTATCAAATTGTGTGTGCACTTTGAACATTGAAGAAGTTTAAAGGGTGAAACATTGAGGAGATGAAGACTGTGTGTAGGGCAAAGTGACCTAAATTGAATTTGGTACTGAATGAGCAGCATTTCAAATGTTAAATTTAAGGTCTACCATGAGAAAATTAAATGCAAACTCTTTGGTGTTGTGAAATTATTGAGTGAAGCAGCATTTGTTGAGACTGACTTTTGAGTGGGCTGTTGGTATGAATTAAAGAAACACTCATATTAGCCTTTGAACAACAGAGGGCACTGTATATGCCTATAAACATTTATTTTATGTCTTAATCCTTTACTTGGATACATGACCAGCACTGGAAATGTGTATTCAATTCAGTGTTACCCGAAAGATGTGACATTAGTCAGATGTTAGAATAGCCCAAACTTTCAAGCTATCTGTTGTCTTTATAAAACTTAAGATACACTTTCTTTGTCGACATTGCAGTTACTGCAACTCTGCATTTTGTAACATATTATTGTATATCTTGATTCTAGCATGCCCACCGATAGATTGTGATAGAAGTATCTATAAAAATTAGCTTTCACAGGGATGTGGTCATCAAATCAGAGCTGGTAATTGCGATTTAAAATCAAGTATTTTTGATATTCATAGAAGAAATCAAAGTTGGAGAAAGTGTGTGGTATTATGGAAAAGCTGACAATTCCTAATCTTCACCTGCAGTTCAACCCATAATTGTTGGGACTTGATCTGAGACTCCCACCCAACTTATAGAGTAGTACCAGTGTAGACTCAACAATCAGTACAATACATTAGATGTTTTCCAATGTTACCATGGGTGTAGGAGTTATTGAACTCAAGGTACAGTGTAGACCACTTTTGCCTTTCAACTGGTGATAATAACAATATTGTCAGGAAGGCCAGGAAGGATGACACACCCAACTCTGTGCCTTCTCCACCTGATATGACTATGTCCTTGATAGGTGTGACCTTGGTGTACCTCCTCCTACCTCCTCCTACCCTGTGATTCATTGTAGGTGAAACCCCCCAGTATTAGCTCTGACAGAAAGCAGGTGCCCCCTCCCCTAGAAGATATACCAGAGGGAGGGGCACCTGATGACATTGAGGATGAGGATGAGGATGGAAGTGAAGATGAGGAGGATGAAGATGATTATAATATCCCTGTGAGTAGAGAATGCCCTTTCTGTCTGCTTGCCTAACATCCTTCTATTGTGGTGATGTTCCAGATGTGGCCTTGCATCAGAGTAAGACTGGGCAAGGTATTAGTACACACTGGTTCCAAGTGAACCAGGCTCTTGAGAGGAATGCCAATTCTGTTCCATCATAGCTGGAGGCAATCAACCAGATAAGGATTACTGCTTTGTTAGTTATGTGTACATGCAAACACAACTGTTAAACCTTAATGTCAGCTGTATATTTCAACAGCCCTCGTAGCAACATCTAGAATGCAAGTTTTTGCTAGAGTTTGACCACTGCAGCTGCAATTATTTCAACCCAGGCTAACAACAATTGCTAGATACTTGTAAACATGCTATGTGTATACTACTCAACTTTTGACAGGAACAGCTCAGTTATGTATGTTGAGTTATATATATGTGTGCTGGAGACAAAGTAACAGAGAACATTTAACAAAAGGAAAACAAGGAACATACATTTCAGATAAATCTTCAATCAAGTTCATTCATTCAATTGAAATATTCATAGAATATCATTCTATATAACTTGTGTGCTTCCAATTTTGATCCAATCATTTTGATTTGCACTATTCTTTGCATGTAATGCAAACAATCAATCAGTGTGTATGCATTATTGCTGACATGTTAACATCACTGGGGAACTACTCAAACAGCCCTGTGTAATGGTGCTTGTTAGGTCTTATCAGACTGCAGCTTCTGTGACATGGCCCACCTATTGTTTCAAAAATCTTTTCTTTGAGGCTTTGAATGTTTTGATCTTTGGAATCATTATTAAGAATTTCCCTTTGTGTGACTTCATTGGAGTATGAACCTTCATAGAGTGAGGGCCAAACTGTATGAGCATCAGAGCTTGCATTAATATTTTAAATCACTATTTCATACCTCAAAGGATGTATGCACTATTTTATGTTGCATGTGACTTCATGTTTACACTGACAGCCATACAACAATCAGCTGTATTGCAGAATAAAATAGTTCCTCAAAATGAGAGGTAATATGACATATGCTCAACTTACCCTAAAGTAGTTTGGTTATCGTCTGTTGAATCCAGTGGTTAAATTGTCATACATGTAAGGTGCCATCAAACATTTAGTAATTACCAACAAAGATTCATAAACACTGATGGTCAGGGCACTTTTTTTACCTGATTTGGGTACCCTTCAGGTAATTTATTAGCAGGCGCATCAAACAGCACTGCTTAAAGGTTTGGGTGAAATATTTTTTACCGTTGCTGCTGCCACCATCACCTGTAATGTTTCTAATGACTGCTGCACAAAAACATTATCCTTCAATGAACTTCCAAATTTCCTTGGGTAATTCTTTTAGCACATGTCATCAAAGGTTAAAAGATCAAGGTCACGACACCTGATACCTGAGGTGTTTCCACTTCTTGGATTCTTATTTGCTCTAAGGATCATAGTGATGGATCCTGGTCTCCTGGTCTCTACTGTAGACATGTAGGAGATCATGAAGGATTGCTTCTGTTGACCCATACCAGAAACCTGTGGTCTCTTCTAACATAGAGAGTGCAACGCAGCTGTTAATCCATACCAGGTTGTGAACAATGTGAATGTTTTCTTTTGAGGCGCTGGTGGTGAGCCGACCTGAGCAAGGGTCATCTTCCAAACTGTCTCTCGTCTAAATAAAATCCATTTATTGGCTTGGTATGGGCAGCCTCCCCACATGATTGCTCTGTACACAGTTTTGTCCATTTCAATGCTAAGGAGTAGGGTACCTCAGAGTCAAAGTCAATTATCACTGGACTGAAGCATGCCAGGGGTAGCCTAGTCGGGTAGCCTAGTGGTTAAAGCGTTCGCTCGTCACGCCGAAGACCCGGGTTCTATTCCCGACATGGGTACAATGTGTGAAGCCCATTTCTGGTGTCCCCCGCCGTGATATTGCTGGGATATTGCTAAAAGCGGCGTAAAACCATACTCAGTCAGTGAAGCATGCCAAATTGTTAAAGATGACTTAAAAACACACGCCATACTGATATATATGCCACACATATGCATAACAAACTAGATATGCCTTGCCTAAATTTTTTGCCTTGCCTAAATGCTTTATTATTATTACATGTTAATAAAAATGCTAAAAATGCTAAAAGTGCTTGTCAGTAATACTGATCACAGGTCAGGGTGTTTCCATTTGTAATCTAGTTTGTTGCCCACCCCAGCACTACAGTGTATGTAGCACATGTGGGCATGCATCCCCTGTACACTGTATGTATCAATATCTGTCTCACTGTATAGCAACCATAAGGAGAATGACAATTCATGTTGCAATATTCAAAATATATCAGTCTGAGATTGATGAACACTGTTTTGAAGTTGTTCCACCAGACAGTGTTTCCAATGTCGTCTTGATGTCATGCAGGATGTGTCATGCATGGCTGTAACAGGGACACAGTGCTGCCAGAAACCTGCAATCTTTCTGTGAGGGCCTCTTGTGCTTGCATGCTTGTATTTGCCTCAATTATAGCAGTTCTTCGTTTCTTAGCTTGAATGTTTAAGCCAGATCTTGTTAGAACTACAGTATATAGAGTTGTTGATAAATATTCAAATCAATTCATTTGGGGCTGTAAGTATGTTGAAATATCTGTTTTCGTTTTTTATATAATTATAATTTGGGTGCTGAATTTTGGCCTGAACAGTAGATGTAATGCTTTTTTCATTGGCTGTTAGACCTGCAAGTTGCTCATTTGAAGAGTGTGGGATGTTGTCTGATCTGTGACTCACTTGACTCATGTGCAGCAAAAGAAGGCTCCAACTGGTGAACAAAGCGAATTCATGTTAATGATCAACACACTTAATATGTTGCCTCTGGAAATGAATTTGCAATGACTTGACTTGGCATTGTGATCAGTCAACTCTGATATGAAACCAATGATGGGATCTTTCAAAAACATGTTATATTCTCTGTTGGGTGATTTTCTGGATACCCTGACTTCCTTAAACACATATAGATAAGATAAGGCACACTGTGATGAGCAGCTGTAACTTCCCTGTAATTGTGTTCACCATTGCATCATGGCTATTCCTTTTGCCTCACTTGGCATGCCTATTTAGTTTGCAACAGAAAAAAACATAAGAATGTTTGTTATAATGATGGTTGTGATGTATGTGTGAGATGCAGGAACCAGTTAGTAACTGACAAATATATTCTCAGGTGCAGGTTGTCATGCCTTTACTTCAGCACCAAGGTCTTTATATCAAACATTTTTATGCAGGAGAGGAATTTTGATGCCATGTTTTTGTTTCAGGACAAAACAGAATATTCCAAATTCTCTTCTATTTTTCTATAACTGTATCTCTAGAAACTAACTAAAATGATGTATTTAGGATTCTCACAGCGTTTCCATAATGACATCTGCCTATTACAGCTGTACAAGTCTTCTCTGAAACATTCGTCTAGTATTTACTGGTTATGTTTTGGTACCCTGGTATGCATTCAACTGATCTCATAGTAGGTTGTAATTCTTAGCATTGCTATGAATGTACATGGCCACTAAAAATAATTCCATAATCATTGTAAAGCAATTGACAATGTCATATTCACTATCAAAGTATTCTTGCTGGTCATGATGTGTTTATTGTTGCAGACAGAGGAAGAGAAGAAGACTGAGGAGGAGGAGGAGGAGAAGATGCCAGACTATCATGAGGAGACTAAAAGACTTATTGAAGGTACATAGCACTGTTTCCTTGCAAGAGAAGAAAGAAGAAGTTTTAAGTGTGATCATGGTGCACATTCATTGTCTGTCACTTTCCAATCCCCTGTGGGGATTCCGGGTCGGAACATTACCCCAGCAACCTGTGCTGGCAGTAAGAGGTGACTGAATGAGTTACTGAGTTGATTGTGTGTCATCTTAGCCCAGTGATGTGGATACATGCTTGTAATATTAATCACTGGATTGTCTGATCAAGACTGAATTATTTGAAGACCACCATCATATAGCTGAAATCTTTCCTACCCCCTTCATTGTCAACACACTGTCAAACCCATTCTTTCCTACCTCCTTTATTGTCCACATATACTGTCAAACCCATTTTTTCCTACCCCCTTCATTGTAAACATATACTGTCGAACCCATTCTTTCCTACCCCCTTCATTGTGAACATACACTCTCAAACCCATTCTTTCCTACCCCCTTTATTGTCCACATATACTGTCAAACCTATTTTTTCCTACCCCCTTTATTGTCCACATACACTCTCAAACCAATTCTTTCCTACCCCCTTTATTGTCCACATATACTGTCAAACCTATTTTTTCCTACCTCCTTTATTGTCAACATGTACTGTCAAACCCATTCTTTCCTACCCCCTTCATTGTCAACATACTGTAAAACCCATTCTTTCCTACCCCCTTTATTGTCCACATATACTGTCAAACCAATTCCTTCCTTCCCCCTTTATTGTCGACATATACTGTCAAACCCATTCTTTCCTACCTCCTTTATTGTGAACATACACTGTCAAACCCATTCTTTCCTACCCCCTTTATTGTCCACATATACTGTAAAACCCATTCTTTCCTACCCCCTTTATTGTCCACATACACTGTCAAACCCATTCTTTCCTACCCCCTTTATTGTCCACATATACTGTCAAACCCATTCTTTCCTACCCCCTTTATTGTCCACATATACTGTCAAACCCATTCTTTCCTCCCCCCTTTATTGTCCACATACACTGTCAAACCCATTCTTTCCTACCCCCTTTATTGTCCACATATACTGTCAAACCCATTCTTTCCTACCCCCTTCATTGTGAACATACACTGTCAAACCCATTCTTTCCTACCCCCTTCATTGTGAACATATACTGTCAAACCCATTCTTTCCTACCCCCTTCATTGTCAACATACACTGTCAAACCCATTCTTTCCTACCCCCTTCATTGTCAACATACACTGTCAAACCCATTCTTTCCTACCTCCTTTATTGTCAACATATACTGTAAAACCCATTCTTTCCTACCTCCTTTATTGTCAACATATACTGTCAAACCCATTCTTTCCTACCTCCTTTATTGTGAACATACACTGTCAAACCCATTCTTTCCTACCTCCTTTATTGTCCACATATACTGTCAAACCCATTCTTTCCTACCTCCTTTATTGTGAACATACACTGTCAAACCCATTCTTTCCTACCCCCTTCATTACCACATATACTGTCAAACCCATTCTTTCCTCCCCCCTTTATTGTCCACATACACTGTCAAACCCATTCTTTCCTACCCCCTTTATTGTCGACATATACTGTCAAACCCATTCTTTCCTACCCCCTTTATTGTCCACATATACTGTCAAACCCATTCTTTCCTCCCCCCTTTATTGTCCACATACACTGTCAAACCCATTCTTTCCTACCCCCTTTATTGTGAACATATACTGTAAAACCCATTCTTTCCTACCCCTTCATTGTGAACATATACTGTCAAACCCATTCTTTCCTACCCCTTCATTGTGAACATACACTGTCAAACCCATTCTTTCCTACCCCCTTCATTGTGAACATATACTGTCAAACCCATTCTTTCCTACCCCCTTCATGGTCCACATACACTGTCAAACCCATTCTTTCCTACCTCCTTTATTGTCAACATATACTGTCAAACCCATTCTTTCCTACCCCCTTTATTGTCCACATATACTGTCAAACCCATTCTTTCCTACCTCCTTTATTGTCCACATATACTGTCAAACCCATTCTTTCCTACCCCCTTCATTACCACATATACTGTCAAACCCATTCTTTCCTCCCCCCTTTATTGTCCACATACACTGTCAAACCCATTCTTTCCTACCCCCTTTATTGTCGACATATACTGTCAAACCCATTCTTTCCTACCCCCTTTATTGTCCACATATACTGTCAAACCCATTCTTTCCTCCCCCTTTATTGTCCACATACACTGTCAAACCCATTCTTTCCTACCCCCTTTATTGTGAACATATACTGTCAAACCCATTCTTTCCTACCCCTTCATTGTGAACATATACTGTCAAACCCATTCTTTCCTACCCCTTCATTGTGAACATACACTGTCAAACCCATTCTTTCCTACCCCCTTCATTGTGAACATATACTGTCAAACCCATTCTTTCCTACCCCCTTTATTGTCGACATACACTGTCAAACCCATTCTTTCCTACCCCCCTTATTGTCGACATATACGTCAAACCCATTCTTTCCTACCACTTTTATTGTCGACATACACTGTCAAACCCATTCTTTCCTACCCCCTTCATTGTGAACATACACTGTCAAACCCATTCTTTCCTACCCCCTTTATTGTCGACATACACTGTCAAACCCATTCTTTCCTACCCCCTTTATTGTGAACATACACTGTCAAACCCATTCTTTCCTACCCCTTTTATTGTTGCCATACACTGTCAAACCCATTCTTTCCTACCCCCTTCATTGTGAACATACACTGTCAAACCCATTCTTTCCTATCCCCTTCATTGTCGACATACACTGTCAAACCCATTCTTTCCTACCCCCTTTATTGTCGACATATACTGTCAAACCCATTCTTTCCTACCCCTTTCATTGTCAACACACTGTCAAACCCATTCTTTCCTACCTCCTTTATTGTCAACATATACTGTCAAACCCATTCTTTCCTATCCCCTTCATTGTCGACATACACTGTCAAACCCATTCTTTCCTACCCCCTTTATTGTCAACATACACTGTCAAACCCATTCTTTCCTACCCCCTTCATTGTGAACATATACTGTCAAACCCATTCTTTCCTACCCCCTTTATTGTCAACATACACTGTCAAACCCATTCTTTCCTACCCCCTTCATTGTCAACACACTGTCAAACCCATTCTTTCCTACCCCCTTCATTGTGAACATATACTGTCAAACCCATTCTTTCCTACCCCCTTTATTGTCGACATAAACTGTCAAACCCATTCTTTCCTACCTCCTTTATTGTCAACATATACTGTCAAACTCATTCTTTCCTACCCCCTTTATTGTCGACATATACTGTCAAACCCATTCTTTCCTACCCCCTTCATTGTCAACACACTGTCAAACCCATTCTTTCCTACCCCCTTCATTGTGAACATATACTGTCAAACCCATTCTTTCCTACCCCCTTTATTGTCAACATACACTGTCAAACCCATTCTTTCCTACCCCCTTTATTGTCAACATATACTGTCAAACCCATTCTTTCCTACCCCCTTCATTGTGAACATACACTGTCAAACCCATTCTTTCCTACCCCCTTTATTGTCAACATATACTGTCAAATCCATTCTTTCCAAAGCCCTAATTGTCAACATATACTGTGCAACTGTATCTGTCCTATCAATTATGTTTTTTCCGGAACACATTAGCAGGCCAGACAAGTGCCAATGTCCAATAACAGTTTATCGTCACTCGGCAGGGCTTAGGATTTCATTTCACTGATAGATTTTATGCATGTCATCGTATCCTAATTGTGTAGATTGATGTCATGATGTTAATCACTGGATAACCTTGTACAGACTTGATTATTTACAGACCACTGTCATACAGCTGGAATATTACTGAGTGTCGTGGTAAACAACAAACAAACTAATATGTTTGACTATCTAAACTCAACTATATTGTCAACGTGGATGTATATGATACTGTAAATCTTGAAATTAACGAGTGTGAATTAAATGCGAAAAATGCAAGTGATCTTTGTTCGCATTAATGAAACCTCGCATTAATGTCTGGGAGTTGCATTGATATTGATATTGAATTTTTTTGGCTAGGGGTCAGCAGTCGTATTAATTTGGAGATGCGTATATTTCACGACTACAGTGCATTCATCTGTATAACATCTTTCAGTGGCAGATGAAGCCCGTCGTCTGTATGATGAAGCTGACAAAAAAGTAAAAGATGTGGAATCACAAATAAGGTAAGACTTTTGTTTATAGTTGTACTTGAAGCACCTCCCGATATTAATCCTACTCCTATATGTGACAGCTGTGGTGGTGTTGTAGGTCTGGTGATGTCTTCTGTAAAGTTGCTGAAGTGTTGTAGGTCTGGTGATGTCTTCTATAAAGTTGCTGAAGTGTTGTAGGTCTGGTGATGTCCTCTGTAAAGTTGCTGAAGTGTTGTAGGTCTGGTGATGTCTCCTGTAAAGTTGCTGAAGTGTTTTAGGTCTGGTGATGTCTTCTATAAAGTTGCTGAAGTGTTGTAGGTCTGGTGATGTCTTCTGTAAAGTTGCTGAAGTGTTGTAGGTCTGGTGATGTCTTCTATAAAGTTGCTGAAGAGTTGTAGGTCTGGTGATGTCCTCTGTAAGGTTGCTGAAGTGTTGTAGGTCTGGTGATGTCTTCTGTAGAGTTGCTGAAGTGTTGTAGGTCTGGTGATGTCTTCTGTAAAGTTGCTGAAGTGTTGTAGGTCTGGTGATGTCTTCTGTAAAGTTGCTGAAGTGTTGTAAGTCTGGTGATGTCTTCTGTAAAGTTGCTGAAGTGTTGTAGGTCTGGTGATGTCCTCTGTAAAGTTGCTGAAGTGTTGTAGGTCTGGTGATGTCTTCTGTAAAGTTGCTGAAGTGTTGTAGGTCTGGTGATGTCTTCTGTAAAGTTGCTGAAGTGTTGTAGGTCTAGTGATGTCTTCTGAAAAGTTGCTGAAGTGTTGTAGGTCTGGTGATGTCTTCTATAAAGTTGCTGAAGTGTTGTAGGTCTGGTGATGTCTTCTATAAAGTTGCTGAAGTGTTGTAGGTCTGGTGATGTCTTCTATAGAGTTGCTGAAGTGTTGTAGGTCTGGTGATGTCTTCTGTAAAGTTGTTGAAGTGTTGTAGGCCTGGTGATGTCTTCTGTAAAGTTGCTGAAGTGTTGTAGGTCTGATGATGTCTTCTGTAAAGTTGCTGAAGTGTTGTAGGTCTGGTGATGTCTTCTGTAAAGTTGCTGAAGTGTTGTAGGTCTGGTGATGTCTTCTATAAAGTTGCTGAAGTGTTGTAGGTCTGGTGATGTCTTCTATAAAGTTGCTGAAGTGTTGTAGGTCTGGTGATGTCTTCTGCAAAGTTGTTGAAGTGTTGTAGGTCTGGTGATGTCTTCTGTAAAGTTGCTGAAGTGTTGTAGGTCTGGTGATGTCTTCTATAAAGTTGCTGAAGTGTTGTAGGTCTGGTGATGTCTTCTGTAAAGTTGCTGAAGTGTTGTAGGTCTGGTGATGTCTTCTGTAAAGTTGTTGAAGTGTTGTAGGTCTGGTGATGTCTTCTGTAAAATTGCTGAAGTGTTGCAGGTCTGGTGATGTCTTCTGTAAAGTTGTTGAAGTGTTGTAGGTCTGGTGATGTCTTCTGTAAAGTTGCTGAAGTGTTGTAGGTCTGATGATGTCTTCTGTAAAGTTGCTGAAGTGTTGTAGGTCTGGTGATGTCTTCTGTAAAGTTGCTGAAGTGTTGTAGGTCTGGTGATGTCTTCTATAAAGTTGCTGAAGTGTTGTAGGTCTGGTGATGTCTTCTATAAAGTTGCTGAAGTGTTGTAGGTCTGGTGATGTCTTCTGCAAAGTTGTTGAAGTGTTGTAGGTCTGGTGATGTATTCTGTAAAGTTGCTGAAGTGGTGTAGGTCTGGTGATGTCTTCTATAAAGTTGCTGAAGTGTTGTAGGTCTGGTGATGTCTTCTGTAAAGTTGCTGAAGTGTTGTAGGTCTGGTGATGTCCTCTCTAAAGTTGCTGAAGTGTTGTAGGTCTGGTGATGTCTTCTATAAAGTTGCTGAAGTGTTGTAGGTCTGGTGATGTCTTCTGTAAAGTTGTTGAAGTGTTGTAGGTCTGGTGATGTCCTGTCTAAAGTTGCTGAAGTGTTGTAGGACTAGTGATGTCTTCTGTAAAGTTGCTGAAGTGTTGTAGGTCTGGTGATGTCTTCTATAAAGTTGCTGAAGAGTTGTAGGTCTGGTGATGTCTTCTGTAGAGTTGCTGAAGTGTTGTAGGTCTGGTGATGTCTTCTGTAAAGTTGCTGAAGTGTTGTAGGTCTGGTGATGTCTTCTGTAAAGTTGCTGAAGTGTTGTAGGTCTGGTGATGTCTTCTGTAGAGTTGCTGAAGTGTTGTAGGTCTGATGATGTCTTCTGTAAAGTTGCTGAAGTGTTGTAGGTCTGGTGATGTCTTCTATAAAGTTGCTGAAGTGTTGTAGGTCTGGTGATGTCTTCTATTAAGTTGCTGAAGTGTTGTAGGTCTGGTGATGTCTTCTGTAAAGTTGTTGAAGTGTTGTAGGTCTGGTGATGTCTTCTGTAAAGTTGCTGAAGTGTTGTAGGTCTGGTGATGTCTTCTGTAAAGTTGCTGAAGTGTTGTAGGTCTGGTGATGTCTTCTATAAAGTTGCTGAAGTGTTGTAGGTCTGGTGATGTCTTCTATTAAGTTGCTGAAGTGTTGTAGGTCTGGTGATGTCTTCTGTAAAGTTGTTGAAGTGTTGTAGGTCTGGTGATGTCTTCTGTAAAGTTGTTGAAGTGTTGTAGGTCTGGTGATGTCTGCTGTAAAGTTGCTGAAGTGTTGTAGGTCTGGTGATGTCTTCTATAAAGTTGCTGAAGTGTTGTAGGTCTGGTGATGTCTTCTGTAAAGTTGCTGAAGTGTTGTAGGTCTAGTGATGTCTTCTGTAAAATGGCTGAAGTGTTGTAGGTCTGGTGATGTCTTCTGTAAAGTTGCTGAAGTGTTGTAGGTCTGGTGATTTCTTCTGTAAAGTTGCTGAAGTGTTGTAGGTCTGGTGATGTCTTCTATAAAGTTGCTGAAGTGTTGTAGGTCTGGTGATGTCTTCTGTAAAGTTGTTGAAGTGTTGTAGGTCTGGTGATGTCTTCTGTAAAGTTGCTGAAGTGTTGTAGGTCTGGTGATGTCTTCTGTAAATATGCTGAAGTGTTGTAGGTCTGGTGATGTCTTTTATAAAGTTGCTGAAGTGTTGTAGGTCTGGTGATGTCTTCTGTAAAGTTGCTGAAGTGTTGTAGGTCTAGTGATGTCTTCTGTAAAGTTGCTGAAGTGTTGTAGGTCTGGTGATGTCTTCTATAAAGTTGCTGAAGTATTGTAGGTCTGGTGATGTCTTCTGTAAAGTTGCTGAAGTGTTGTAGGTCTAGTGATGTCTTCTGTAAAGTTGCTGAAGTGTTGTAGGTCTGGTGATGTCTTCTATAAAGTTGCTGAAGTATTGTAGGTCTGTTGATGTCTTCTATAAAGTTGCTGAAGTGTTGTAGGTCTGGTGATGTCTTCTGTAAAGTTGTTGAAGTGTTGTAGGTCTGGTGATGTCTTCTGTAAAGTTGTTGAAGTGTTGTAGGTCTGGTGATGTCTTCTGTAAAGTTGCTGAAGTGTTGTAGGTCTGGTGATGTCTTCTGTAAAGTTGCTGAAGTGTTGTAGGTCTGGTGATGTCTTCTATAAAGTTGCTGAAGTGTTGTAGGTCTGGTGATGTCTTCTGTAAAGTTGCTGAAGTGTTGTAGGTCTAGTGATGTCTTCTGTAAAGTTGCTGAAGTGTTGTAGGTCTGGTGATGTCTTCTATAAAGTTGCTGAAGTATTGTAGGTCTGGTGATGTCTTCTATAAAGTTGCTGAAGTGTTGTAGGTCTAGTGATGTCTTCTGTAAAGTTGCTGAAGTGTTGTAGGTCTGGTGATGTCTTCTATAAAGTTGCTGAAGTATTGTAGGTCTGTTGATGTCTTCTATAAAGTTGCTGAAGTGTTGTAGGTCTGGTGATGTCTTCTGTAAAGTTGTTGAAGTGTTGTAGGTCTGGTGATGAGAGTAGTTTTGTGTCCATTTTTTCAGCAATGCCAAGAAGTACTTAGACAAGGACTTTGGACCAGAAAATGAGTATGCTTTCCTGTACAACAAGTGTTTTGAGTACACAGAGAGGGAATACACCTACAAGTTATGTCCCTTCGATAAAGCCTCACAGAGACCAAAGTCAGGAGGATCAGAAACTAACCTCGGGTAAGCATGTTTTGTCTGGAAATATATGAACAGCAAACATTAAGAAAGATGCACTTCCCTCATTTGGGGATACTGTTGACTATGTTATGATGCTTTGCCTGTCTAATGTTTCAGGCTGTGGGGTCACTGGGATGGGACATCCAATGATAAATATTCAGCACAAAAATATGAAAAGGGACAGAACTGTTGGAATGGCCCTGACAGATCAGTAAAGGTGAGGACATGGAAATATTATATTTTAGTTAACTATAATTAAGTGGTTTTTTTCTCTTTCTGCTAACCAGACAAGTTATAATGGAAGTACAGTGGTCCCTCGACTTAACGCTCTTCGATGTACCGCTACTCCGGATGCACCGTGGGGTAAACCATGGCTCCCAAAAATGCATGAAGAATTTTCCACTAAAAGCGTGTTAAAGCGTGTAAAAGCAAATAAAGTTACAAATAAACCAAGTCCATGTACACGTGTGTGTATTTGTAAAACAATTACGTTCATTGTATCCGGCTGCATGTGATCGAAACCATTCTGCCTTTTGTTCCGGTTGTGAAAAAACATATCGTACACAGATCTGGCATTAAACTCACATAAAATAAAATCACAGCAACAACAAACATAAGCCGCATTGTTTGATTTAATACTCATCTCAGCTTGTTGTGATTGGTAAGACAACATGTGAGATGTCTTCAAACTTCAAACCGGCTGCGTGTAATGCAATAACAACAATCGAAATAATGGCTTCCGGTATTTAATCCGGACTTGAGTAACCGTGAGAGACCTATAAAAAACATTGGAACTTCATTGTTTAAATAGCGTAATTACGAAGGGTATAAAATAAATCTTAGTTCATTAGTCTTTACCATTTCAATCATGGCAACCACTGGGAGTAAATCTAAGCGACAGGCGTACACTATTAAAGACAAGTTGGAGATTGTGAGGCGGGTGAGAGAGGGTGAATCGCAAGCTATTGTCAGGCGTTCAACTGGGATTCCAGCAGGGACCATAAGTGGATGGCTAAAAGAAGAAAAAAAACTTCAAGATCTTGCATTTGAGACCCAGGAGATCGGGGGATTGCAGAAGAAGCGAAATAAAGGGGCAACGGACTCTACACTGGATGCAGCGCTGTTTGCGTGGTTCACGCAAAGCTGACATGGTGGCTTACCACTATCTGGCACGATAGTAAAAATGCAGGCTCAGAAACTGTCCCTAGATATTCATGGCCCTGACGACACATTCAAGGCCAGTGCAGGCTGGTTGTGGAGATTCCAGAAACGACATGGAATCAAGTCGTTTACAGTGACCGGGGAGCGGAGATTGGTCGACGACGATGCTGCTGACGCGTTTCCCGCCATCCTAAGAGGGCTGATTGAGTCCGAGGGCTACGACGAAGAGCAGATCTACAACTGTGATGAGACCAGCCTGTACTACAAGCTGTTGCCAGACAAGACCCTAGGCACCAAGGAAGACAAGCAGACTGGATTCAAGTCCGCCAAGCAACGGGTGACAGTTTTGCTCACATGCAACAAGCCTGGGACTCACAAGTTGAAGCCTTTGGTGATCGGCGGTGCCCAGAATCCCAGGTGCTTTCATCACGTCAACAGAGAAACACTGCCCACACACTGCAGCGCCTCTGCAAATGCGTGGATGACAGCCAAGATTTTTGAAGATTGTTTTTTTCACAAGTTTGTCCCAGCTGTCCGTGACCATCTCTGATCACGGAACTTGGAGGAGAAAGCCATCCTCCTATAGGATAACTGCCCCGCCCATCCCCCAGCAAGTACATTGCAGTCGCATGATGGACTCATAGAGGCATTCCTATTGCCGAAAAACACGACCTCCCTCATTCAACCGCTCGACCAAGGGATAATAAAAGCATACAAGGCTCATTATAGGAGATTCTTAGTGAGTGCGTTGGTGGAAAGAGGATTGGACCCCGTTGCGTTCCTGAAGACAGTCACAGTAAAGGATGCTGTTCTTCACACATCCAAAGCCTGGATGAAGGTGACGCCAGCACCATCAACAACTGCTGGATGAAGGGACTTGGGCCAGCATTCGGGGTTGACGAAGATTTCGTGGGGTTTCAGGAAAAGATGTCATTGATGCTGTACAAAAGTTCCGCGACTATGCTATGGAGAACAGCATCGATGTATCCCAAGAGACGGCCATGATGTGGAACGCGTGCGACAACGACCTGCCGATTGCAGAACTTCTCAACGACCAAGAGTTGGTTGCCGCAGCAATGCCCGTCGAAATCATCGACGATGAAGAGGAAGAGGAAAACAGTGACAGTGAAAACAGTGTTCAGCCAATGGCACCCTCCGTTCGAGATGCCATTAATGAGGCGAGCTTTTATTGCGACACTTAGAAAAAAGTGACAAATACGAACAACTACACGTAATGCAAGTCCGCTGCATACTGTCACAACTGAGGACAGAGGAACGTGACAGTCAGAAACAATCGAAAATTAGTGACTTTTTTAGTAAATAAAAATGTGTTCATGCATTACGTCATGTACATGCACCAGTTGCATGGTATGAGTGCAATTTTCCCTTTGCATAATTATCATTATTAACAGAACTAAATATATCTCTCATTTTTCATAACTTTGACACGTCATTATTTATTAACCAATCACAGCCTTGGTTGCACATTAGTTTCGTTTCAAGGCTTGTTTGGCTTTGTAATGTACTGTCATTGATCGATAATGTGAGTAGGTCGGCGATCGGACCAAATTTCTTCCGAAAAACTTAAAATATAACAACACTTATTTAGTTTCTACATGTATAACATCCAGTCGTAAAATAATACAGACTACTTTGATTAATTTACACAAAGTATTTTTATTTTTTTAAGGATGCAGTTTGAATCATCGTCCACGATCAGTGTTACATACATCTACATGTCCCATGCCACTGTGAAATAATTGCGCCACTGTTCCATTCACTACCATCATTACGTAATGTGAATCTCAGCAAAGAATATCTGTAAAACGATCTTTCCTAGAACGCGGGGTCGGTTTCTTGGACCCCGATGACAGCGGTATATCGAGGGATCACTGGTGTCGTCCAGGGTGATGTCATAGCATTTCAGAGTGTTGTCATGGCTCTCTCAAAGCTTTGATAGTTTGCATATACTAAACAGAATGGTTAGGGATTATGAATATTTAATGGGTTACCTTTTCTTAATTTCATAAAAATATCCCCAAAATATTTATGATCCCTAACTTCTTTCTGTTCAGTATAGATAGTAAGTGCTTGATGATTGATAATTTTTCATTTTGATAAATGATTGATAATTTTTATATTTTACAATGTTGATAGACATTAGGTATTTACACATTTGCAGTTTTTTTAAATGTTTTTCTCAGAAATGTTCACATTTAAACCTTCTAAAGATTAGTAAGGGTTAAGAAGAGGTCTCAAAATACATTGCAGTGTGTACATAACTGTGTGTTGTAGACACTGATACGGTGTGTACATAATTGTGTGTTGTAGACACTGATACAGTGTGTACATAATTGTGTGTTGTAGACACTGATAAAGTGTGTACATAATTGTGTGTTGGAGATACTGCTACAGTCTGTACATAATTGTGTTGTAGACACTGATACAGTGTGTACATGATTATGTGTTGTAGACACTGATACAGTGTGTATTGTGTGTAGAAGATACTGCTACAGTGTGTACATAATTGTGTGTTGTAGACACTGATACAGTGTGTACATGATTATGTGTTGTACACACTGATACAGTGTGTATTGTGTGTAGTAGATACTGATACAGTGTGTACATAATTGTGTGTTGTAGAGATTGATACAGTGTGTACATGATTATGTGTTGTACACACTGATACAGTGTGTATTGTGTGTAGTAGATACTGATACAGTGTGTACATAATTGTGTTGTAGACACTGATACAGTGTGTACATGATTATGTGTTGTACACACTGATACAGTGTGTATTGTGTGTAGTAGATACTGATACAGTGTGTACATAATTGTGTTGTAGACACTGATACAGTGTGTACATAATTGTGTTGTACACACTGATACAGTGTGTACATAATTGTGTTGTAGATACTGCAACAGTGCGTACATAATTGTGTTGTAGATACTGCTACAGTGTTTACACGATTGTGTGTTGTAGACACTGATACAGTGTGTACCTAATTGTGTGTTGTAGACACTGATACAGTGTGTACATGATTGTGTGTTGTAGACACTGCTACAGTGTGTACATGATTGTGTGTTGTAGACACTGCTACAGTGTGTACATGATTGTGTGTTGTAGATACTGCTACAGTGTTTACACGATTGTGTGTTGTAGACACTGCTACACTGTGTACATGATTGTGTGTTGTAGACACTGCTACAGTGTGTACATCATTGTGTTGTAGATACTGCTACAGTGTGTGCATGATTGTGTTTTGTAGACACTGCTACAGTGTGTGCATGATTGTGTGTTGTAGATACTGCTACAGTATGTACATGATTGTGTGTTGTAGAGACTGCCACAGTGTGTATTGTGTGTTGTAGACACTGCCACAGTGTTTACATGATTGTGTGTTGTAGGTACTGCTACAGTGTGTACATGATTGTGTGTTGTAGATACTGCTACAGTGTTTACACGATTGTGTGTTGTAGATACTGCTACACTGTGTACATGATTGTGTGTTGTAGATACTGCTACAGTGTGTACATGATTGTGTGTTGTAGACACTGCTACAGTGTGTACATGATTGTGTGTTGTAGACACTGCTACAGTGTGTACATGATTGTGTGTTGTAGACACTGCTACAGTGTGTACATGATTGTGTGTTGTAGATACTGCTTCAGTGTGGGACAGACAACCAGCTGTTATCTGCTGCGGAGCCCAGCCGCTGTGAGTACCAGTTTGAGTTTGCCACACCTGCACGCTGCACACATCCAACGCCAGAAGAATACCAGATGAATTCAGGTCATGATGAGCTGTAATATCCTGATCTATACTTTAGAAAATGTACACCTTTTATCTGCAATACATGATCAGCATCTCTCACTTTTAATTGAATATTATATATGTTCTTGTGTCATTGAGTGTATCCTGAACCTTTAGTTGTACAGTGTGTTGTATCTCCGGTCAGTTATGATCACTACCCTGGACCCATTCATTGACATGGCTTTGTTTCTCTTTGCCTAGGCACAGAATTTCTCTTGCTCATGAGCTTCAAATCAGCAACAAATCAGTGTGATATTTTGCAAGATCAATTTTACAATTTGTGACCATGTGTGAATGATATATTGATACATTGATACATTGAATGAAATGAGAAGATGTTTTTCTATGCAATAAGAGTGGGGAGTATGCTACCACGAATTTCAGGATGTGTTTCAACATCATTGTAATTGGATGATTCTTTATAGTTTTCTGCCATCTCTACCTAACTGAAACCAATGTTATGGTAGGAAATGGGTGCAGTGTATTTATCATAATGGTATGGAGATATGATACACTGGATGATCAAGGATGAAAACTGATATATCAGGTATGACTTGTCACTCATAGAGCATGTCAGTGTATCAGATTAAATGTACATGTTCATAAAACAGATTGTAAGAATGTTGAATGTGTAAGATATTGTGTGTCTAAATAAAATTTCTACAAACTCCCAAATGTGTAGATTTTGTTTGGATGTAAGAGGTGACTGATGAGTTTCAGATGGTAACGTGTTTCACCTAGTTGGTTGTATGTCAACATACTTGGACACCCTGGGTCAGGTTCATATTGTAAACCACATTGTAGGTTTGCACAGACTTGACAGAGACCTGTTGTCTGTTGTGTCCAGATGTTTGTTCATTGGTTAACTTTAGCATTTTCGTCATCTCTGAAACTTCAGGGCCTATTGAGGTGATAACTTGTATGAAAGGTCCCAGTTATTATGTGTCCAATTTCAGATTTGGCTGCTATTGAAAATGCTATCTGGCTGTTACTCAACCAATTCTGGATGACATTTGATATGCAGCAAGTATGAGTTTATCAAAATAGCATATAGAATAAATTGTTTGGTATATTAGGTTTGTAATGTAGACAATTCCTTTGACTTTCACCTACCCCCATAATCCTAGTGTTGCTGCATTTCTTTCCCCTGAAACTACAAGGTTTATTGTGCTGAAAGTTTGCATGAATGATCTTAGCTATGTTGTCCCCAAAAATTGCTCACACAATTCCGATTATATTTTGAACCAAGGCGTATTGAAAATGTAATTTTGGGGTAATTTCTCAGCCATTTCTTCATGTGTCATTTTGACATTTGATATGCAGCAAGCTAATAGTACACCTTTAACAATTTGCACGTAATAAGTTAATACCTTCCATGCTTCCTGGATGCATTTGAACCAAATACACAAGCAGGCAGCATGTTTCTGCAGGCATCAAAGTTACTAGGTATCCTGTGTTGATGAAACTATACTGCACTGCCATCAGGTATCGCCAACCAAAATGGCTAACTCCAACAGCCATCCATGTGGACATGGTGTCAACTTTAGGGGATGCTGCTCCTTCCTTTGCCACTGTTAAGGGGGAAGCTCAGTTTAAGGAAATATGAGAGAGACCCATTCATGAAAAGGTAGTCCCTTACCTGCCACCACTGACGTAAATGGTGATAAGATACATGATAAGATTATGGATGATCAACATCACTATACTTCACATAGCTAATACGAAAAAAGTTTATTTCATAGGCCAAAGGCCCAAAACGATATAAAAAAACAACAGTGTTTTGAATGGCAAGTACTATTACTTAGAGCTAATCCTACTACTTCCCATCCGTCCAGGAGTAATCTAATTATCGAAGTCAATTCTGTTTCGTTCCTTCATGATATGATATACACGTTTGGAAAAAATTAAGTAAGTCACAATATTTCTAACAGACTTCATCAGACTAGTATTTTTAATGACATGTTTAAGTAAATATTGTAATGAAATAAATTGATTTTGTAGACAACGCATGAGAACATTATGTTCGTCGTCTATATTGGTTTTACTAACAGGACAGAGGCTTTGATCTAGTGGTAATTTGGAACATGTGTGAACCTAAATGTTTAGATTCAATACAAGTTAAATACTTTTCACATGCCAAGATATCTTTTATGGCTAAATAGAGCCTAGTGTCACTGATTGATGAAAGTTGATTCCACCACATTTGGCTATGTATATCTAGAAGTCTCTCGTTATATTCAATAAAAACTTCATTCAGATTCAAATCATTTTGTCCCATTAATATGTATCCAAAACAATATTTATAATAATGTATCTCTCAATAATTACGCAGGGTTCTCTTTCTGATGTAACAGATATATTCATTACTGCTTTGTTAATTACATTTATATTAACTGTCTATTATATATTTTCTACTAATATTTTATGATTCTCCCAAGTCTGGTTCCGATCAATTCCCCTCATTCAAACGCAGAGGGTGTAGATAAAATAACATGTAAAATACGTTTCATAAACCCTAAAAAGACACGCCCTATGGTTTTAGCTTCTCTAAACCCCCAACCCTTCCCACCATTCCATACAGTAGGGACGATGTTACTTTCAAGCAAGTGAATAGGAACGTCAAGAGAAATACAGGCATTTTTTTTTCAATATGCGATACATACACGCATATATACTGAACACCAAAAGAAACGCGAATGAAGAAGGTATAGGAAACATGATGTATTTTGTTTCAGCTGGTATAAACATAATAATGATGGATACAACACAATTCATTAGCAATAAGAAAGAGTCAGTTCTCTGGACATCAGACATCTTCTGTTTCCATTAACACAACACCACGTGACCATGCTGAAGTCAACTGAAGTATGGGTACACCTCAATACCTGGTGTGGCCCCCATTTGCATTCACAAGTGCGACACACCGTCCGTGCATGGAGTGAATAAGACGGTTGATAGTGTTCATGGGGATGTGACGCCACACCTGCAGGATGGTAATCTCGAGCTGTGCAGGTGCCCTTGGCCTCGGACGCGCCATGTTCAAACGTCTCTGCACTTCATCCCACAAGTGTTCAATAGGGTTGAGATCAGGACTAAGAGCCGGCCAGGGCATGGTGTTGATATTGTGCTGTTGCAAGAAGGCTTGAGTAATCCTGGCAGTGTGGGGATGAGCGTTATCCTGTTGAAATTGGAAGTTGCCATGTCTTGCAAAAAACGGTACAACCTGGGGCCTCAACACCTGATCAATGTAACGCTGAGCAGTGACACCATTGCCCCTACCAGCTCCAACGTTCTGAAAGATTACAAGGTCAGTTCTCTGATTTAACCCTATTCCACCCCAAACCATGACACTAGGACCACCCCACGAGTTCCGTTCAAGGACACACTGGTCATGATAGCGCCCACCGCAACGTCGCCATACTCTAACAAGTCCATCGGCACGATCAACACAATACCGACTTTCATCAGAGAACAGAACTCTTCTCCACAGCTGATGACGCCAATTCAAGCGTGCTTGGGCCCACTGTAGTCTCAGGAGACGGTGACGTTGAGTGAGAACAGGACCTTGTGATGGTCGCCTACACTGAAGCCCTCTGTCACGAAGTCGCCGTCTAACTGTGTTGGAACTTACAGCCCTCCCGTGGTTTCCAACGACGTTCCTAGCAGTTTCACTGGCCGACAGGAAACGTCCTTGCAGATGTGACCTGTGAATGTGACGGTCCTGACGTTGTGTTGTCACACGTGGTCTGCCGGTACGATGCCTGTCTCTGGTGCTGGTGGTTGTCTGGAATCTTTCCTGCAGACGGTAGATGGAGGAAACGTGGACGTTAAAGGTGTTTGCAACTCTCTGAACACTCACCAGCTTGAAGTTGCTCAATAGCTCTCTCTCGATCCATCTGTGACAGTCGTGGCATTAGTACTGACGTTGATGAGTGAATGATTCACAGTGACACTTTCGTGGCTTTTAAAGACAACATCTTCACGGACAGTTTTTGCGGCAAAAGCAGCACGTGCATTTCGGGCGTATCCATCCCACACTTCAACGTCGGTGCGTTTGAGCGCTGTGGATTAAGAGTTCACTGCCCTTAACTCTGGTTAGGGTCATTTTGAAACAATTAAAGCCCATTACAATGGAACCATAGCAGCCAACCGTTTTCACAACCATTTTCCCATATTAAATAGGAACTTGAAGATTTCGCGTTTCTTTTGGTGTTCAGTATAGAAGCAACCAATTTTGACGCTTGACCTGCTGTCAAATGTGCTTGTGCAAAACTTCCCCCGGAGACTCTACATCAATATATTGTCCACCATAGTACCACTTTTCACGTTAAGCTTGCCTACCACCCTTCCGGAATATAACGATTTTGTTTTTATACATATTGATGGTTAGACCCCACTTGTCATAATAACCGTTGTCGATAGTGCTATAATTTTCTCTGTTCCTCTATTAATACCTCATACTTGTCACTCCAACTAGAAATTCATGAATTCAAGATACCTGTCAACAACTTGCCGGAACATGAAAGATCTGTAATACCACCATAAGTATCGGGTATAAATTTACTATACCTTTCTTATGGATAGCTAATTTAACACCCTTTGAACATTTGGAGGGAAAAATTCAGTGATGAGAATACTGTTAAAAATCTGACTAGAGTGGCCGCAACAATGTTACATCCATGTTAAATAATCTCATTGATTGTGTGTAACCACCAAACCCCGCAGATTTGTTCTCTTTTAAGCCCTCTTACATCATTCAAAACCTCACTATACGTGATATCCGAGTCTAATTCTTCCACCAACCTCTCATCATTCACCCCATCATCAACCCTTCATACACTTAAGCCTCCAATGTGAGAACATCCTCTGGAGGGGGCACGGGTGGCCCAGTCGTCTAAGGCGCCGCGATTCGCTGTGCAGAGTTGCGTCCCTTGGGCACGCCAGAAACCTATGATTGTGGGTTCGAATCCCGGTTCGCCCCAATTATGTTTCTAGGTTTGTCAGCACCATACCCGTGCTCGTGGGTTTCACCGAAGTGGTAAACGTCTGAGACCTGCATCACTTCGGGCTTTCCTCCCACATTAAGCTGACACGCCGTGATATAACTGGAATACTGTTAAAAGCGGCGTTAAACCCAACTCACTCACTCACTCCTCTGGATCTGATAAACGTTTACTATTTGTTTGTGATTTATCTCTCATACAGGGCAAATACCAAAATACAAGTACATAATAACGATACATGAACGTGTAGGTACAACAGACAACATCAGTATCCCTCACCCATTCCCCGCCCAAACCCATTTATAAACATTTTGTTCAGCTTGGGTTTGGGGCTGGGCTGGTTACAAGAAGAAATCGGCGTTGTAACATAAATCCAAAATGAATTTCAGCAAAGACTATCAGATAACCTGGCATTCTTCAATGGAAGAATTATCTTCGAAATGTAATTACTATGTTCAGTAATTAATCTATGTTGAACACAGAACGTTATTTAACAAATGACATTCCACATGAATACATATCTTTCAAAGTTTTGATATAATAATCTTTGTTTAAATGTGGAACTTGAAAGGGACACAGTTACACTCCCCATAATGTACGATTTTGCGAGTTCTGTTTGTCCAAAAGTTTGAAATATATTGAAGATAAAAACCATGTGATGTTTATGTATGTGAACAATATGCCACTAAAAGAAGAAAGTATATCTTGCCATATTACACTGAATATCCATTTCTAATAAAAATTTACACAGCTAATGCAAATAGGTGATAATGTTGTCCTTCATAATACGGGTGGGCCGGTGGCCCGTTACTGAAATAAATTGTCTTTCTGTCTGTACATTGTTACAACTGTCATTTTGTTTTCTTGTTAAAAGTAAGATGGGAGATCTAGAAAATTGAATCTGTGTAAATCTAGATTTGCTTCATTTAGAGCTATAGCATTACAGTAAGGGCATTACAAAGGGGTAAGTACCCTAAAAGTCGCTACCTTCTACACATGACTGACGGACGTCAACGTGTGTGGAGACATCAAAATACGGCCTACAATCAACAGAACATTTGTCCCACAATGACCTTTGGTGGTGGTTTCCTCATGAATTGTGGTTGTGTGTCCTATGACTGTAAACTGGATTGGATTGGATAACAGTTCGAGGAAACTTAAATGAGCAGCACTACCTCAAAGAGATCCTTGAAAACAGTGTGATCCCATAATTTGTTACAGCAAGAAGTCCAGATCTCAATCCAGTTGTGCACTTGTGGAAACAAATGGGCCGTGTGAGAGCCAGGGCCCCACCTCTACAAACTGTACAGGAACTTTAAAAACATCCCCTTGTTGCGAATTCAGCATTTGGTGACCACCATTGGAAGGCGTGTAGTTAACGTCATCAGATCACGATGCGCTTACACCAGCTATTGACCCTGACAGAGAGTGTTTGTCAGAAGGCTTGGCAACAATTGTTTCGATGACTGACACCAATTAGGACCAAAAACATTACGCATGGGCCAATGCTTAACATGGGTTAAAATAATTGAAGAAGTTACATTTTTCAGAAGGTCAATAAAAAGTGAAATACTGGTCAGCAAACGTTTTATTGAGACGTGGGCGCAAATGGACATCACATGCTACATACATACTTAACTAATATATTTCGTACCTACACCCTAAAGATTTACTGTCAATGAAAAGGTAACATGTTTCTGGTGTACAGTTGTGCCATGGCAGTCTCTACGCAGGATCCAGACAGCGAGATCCCACCAGCATGTGATCCGGGCACTGACAGGCGAACATCCTCCCGCCAGGAGCAGGTGAACAGATGTAAGAACACCCACCGTTATTGATGCCACACCGGTTTGTGCCTGGAATTACATTTATATATTCCATATGAGTGTATAACCTAGGATAGATTTGTAGATTTTTAAGCAGGCTTTTCTGTTCTGTGTAGGGTAGCTAACAACACCAGTATATGTAGACATCATCTATACGCCCGAGAGACCCTGAAACAAAACTAAGCACCTTGCTGAAAGCTAATTGTTTTAACCCTTCTCAAGAATCGCTCGACCTGGGCAGTACATAGCGGTGTCTACAACTGGTCAGAATTACTGGAATAGTCATTTGTGTCACGTGAAGGGACACATCAGAAATGAAAAACATTTTTTCCCATCTGTACCTTTAGGTTGTCTGTCTTGATGCATGACCTTGACATCTAGTGGTCTTCTGAGGGTCACCGTTGTATAGGTCCTCATGTCACGTCCAGTCGTCTTGCGGACCCTGCTCAGTGATCGGCGCCGCCAGTCTGTCCAGTAGACGTAATCCTGTACAACACAAGGATTAAATGCTAAACATAAATGGATCTAAAGATAGGCATGTACTGGGATCTGAATCAATGCCAAATATTTGCATTCCTACAGGTAAAGCCAAAGTTGTAAACAATGTAGTTTATGTGGGATATACGCAAGACAAGAGAAAGTACAATACCTCTATAACAGCCACAGAGAACATTTGTTGAAGTTGTTCACTGTGGCTGAAAACCACTTCTCTTCGATTACTGCCGTCCATGTCGGAGCTGAAGATTGCACCCATGTTCCCGTCAGTCCACATTAAACGCCGTTCACCATAGTCTGAGAGAACAGAGACTTAAAGTTTTGCGAAAGGACATGCTGCCACACAAGTAAAGATTGCATTCCTTGGGAATGTCTTTGACAAAAGACCGCCTCCGTGGTCTATTGGTAGAGCGTCCGCCCGGAGAGCGGAAGGTCCGGGGTTCGATCCCCGGCCGCGTCATACCAAAAGACACCAAAAGACGTTAAAAGATGGTACTTGTTGTTACCCTGTCTGGCGCTCGGCATTAAGGGGATAAAACAAGGACTGGTCGGCTCGGAGTCAGTATACTGTGATTGAGTGGGGTATTCATGTTAAACTGCGGCATGGTATCTCAATGAGCTAGCACTATAAATCGGCATCAGTCCGGACTAGTACAAGCAGCCACACAAACACACACACGTACATGCACGTCGCTATATAAGTGCAATAATCTTGGACGCGACGTTAAACCCCTTTTCACCTCACCTCTTTGACAAAAACTAGACGTGTTTCATAACTAAACCTTTGAACCATGTACACATCAAAGACATAATGTACAAAATATAATGTACGTATATACATGTTTTACTACCTTGTCTATGTATCATTAGCATATTTATTCAACGTGCCATTACTGACAACTGACCTATGGTCAAGCCATTGGGCCAGACGATGTCGGTTGTGATGATGGCCGTCCTTCCTGACCCGTCCATCCCACTCGTTTCTATACTCGGTGTCTCCCCCCACGTACTCCAGTAAAGGCGTCTGCCAAATCAGAAGACCATTCAACGTGTGGTTTGGAAATTCAGACATAAAGTTCGTGGATCGAATGATCTAGAGGAAATATGTGCAAGCAAATGGTATATAAACCCCCGTCTCAACTAAGTAAGTGGGTGAATGAATGCTTAACACTGCAGTCAGTAATCACGCATGCAGCTATGCCACAGCGCCTGTCAATAAGAGGGGTATATTTAAAGCGACAATGGACAATGGACTGAAGTGGTGCCATTTGGTATTTTTTGTCCGGTCCAGATTTACAGGCTGCCGTGATAAAACTCAATTTTGTTGACCATTCATAAACTCCTATGCTATGAGTCAAAGGTGGGTTTTAACGTCGCGTGGAACATTTCTTTCAGTTATATCACATCGTTTCAGCTTGATGTGTGAGTAAGGCTCCAAGTGATGCAGGTCTTAGACGTCTATCACGACCATGACCATGAGAATTGTGCTGACAAACTCACTCTCAGGGCCCAATTGTCCTCAGTGCTCAACTGGGATTCCAGTTATTGGAGTCAGACACGTCCAAATGATATTACTCTGTACATCGAATAAAGGCGCCTTAGACAACTGTACCTCCCGTACCCCTCTTACACTATGAATAGTCTTACCCATCGCAGGTAACATTCCCCAACACCGACACCTAAGCTTACGAACAACGTAACAACAGCGGATGGCAATGCTTGAAGGATTATACCCTTCATTCGGATCAAGCACTAGAGCTCGTGGTCTATCCAGATGTCTGTGCACCGTCCTGCTGAATCTGGTTGCCAGGGCGACCACCCTGATAGCACCATCCGTGGAGTCCACCCAGTACAGAGCCTTGTGCAGCCAGTCAAACGCAACGCTCTCGGGGAGTCTTATCCCGGAATCGACCAACACAGTTGGAGAAAGCAGAGTGCTTCCATTCAGAGTGGCCCTATAATGTACATAAGAAAACAAACCGTTCACAAATTTACACATTGGGAGACATTACAATGCATACTAGACACACCAAAATATTATGGCCTTCGTGTGATGTTGGTCCATGGCAATATGAACCTATGACGTGTAAACCAACACATGCTTTAATGGTCTGACTGGTAACAGAAAGATATCTGCGATATAGTATACTATATGACCCAGGTATATGCAGTAGGATCACGAATGTCATTTTTTACCTGTAATTTTGTAAACAATTACGTAGCCCTTGTTAACTCTCTGCTAAAGGACAATAGGCGGACAAACCCTTAAATATCAAATCAATTATATCCGAATTTCCAATTATTTCCACGCGAAATAAAACAAAATATCTGTTTCCACACATTGGCAACCACAAGAACGGACAAATAAGAGTTATTTTGTTGATGTGTATTGGATAAACTTCACCCATGTAATCCAACCTCAGAAAAACACATTGTGAAATTTCAAATCCTATGATTGTGAAATTGATTTATAAGAAAATTCTACATGCAGCAATAGACAAGGTCGGATTTGAGAAATTGATAAATCTGGGGGCATTTGCGTTAATTTATGGCATACAAGCTTTACAAGTGTATTGAGGAGTGATGAATACAAATCTGCTGAATGCCAGGTCGAAATTTGAACAATAATACCACAACATTTAAAATCCAAAATCCAAAAGTCTGCAAATGAAACGTATTCATTCGCATATCTATGCAAGCATATAAGCTAGAAACTAGACTTAAATGTGCTTTTGTGCCTATGTTTCTAGACATGAAGAATCGAATGACACCATCAAGTTTTAAATAGATTACTAATAAACAACGTTTGAACCAAATAATTATGTTTAAATCAAATATATCCAATGCATTTCAATTGAACTTGACTTTTTTTTCCTGCATCACCGTTCAATTCATATATACCTTCAGTGTGCTGTACATTGTACTGTAGACATATATGGATACTGCTTTGGCAGAGAACCCTTTATAAACATGGGTGATAATGGTGCTGTTTTTCCTCCTAATCTGGGGCGGTCGGATAGCCTAGTGGTTAAAGCGTTCGCTCGTCACGCCGAAGACCCGGGTTCGATTCCCGACATGGGTACAATGTGTGAAGCCCATTTCTGGTGTCCCCCGCCGTGATATTGCTGGAATATTGCTAAAAGCGGCGTAAAACCTCCTAATCTAGTGAAGTGGTGCTTTGTTCACTTCTCAGCCGACACCGTCAACATCAACGAGAATACACATGGTGGAAAGGGAACTGTACGCGCCACTTAAGTGGCTGCATGGCAGCGTGGTCCACCGGAAAGTAATATTTTTAGTGCACTTGACTTTACCAAGGCAGATACCTTGCACATTCCTGAAGCAATGAATGATGTAATTGCTGCTCCTAACAGAGGAATGATTGAATGTCAACCCTATTGTTAACTCTCGGGTGACTGGTTCACACACACAGTCACCCACAGAATGCCCTTCAGCAAAGAAGGCACACAAAACTGACATGGCATTGATCAAATCCCACAAGCTCATACACTAATGGCTTCATGGACATTTTACAACCAAACAGCTAGCGAGACCAGTCCAGAGTAGACATCAGCCAGTTACTTGCCAATCACACAAGCTCCTGCTTCAGTGACACGGTGAACATGGTAGTCAGACGAGTGCTCCATGTAGCACAATCAGTGGGGCAGCAACGTGTGGTGTTAACAGTGGTGAGGGTCTGTATCCGAAGCGTAAGGAAGTGAGATGGTCAGAGTATAAGGATCTGGTAATACCTTGCCTTCGCGGCCTTCCTGCAGCTGTGAACCTTCTTGCTGTTATAGGATGACACATGAGTGAGTCTGGATTGTGTGAGCTTTGGATAGTGTGAGCTATCTTGGGAACCAATGTAGTAGTAGAATGATCCGAATGCTACATTCTGGTGGGACGTCATGTATATGGTGACCACCCTGCTATGCTTCACGAGAGCGCTGCGTGATTGATCTTGGGATCAGTACCTTTATGCCTGAAAAGGTATAGGGCCATACTTCTTTACTTGCGGACATTCCGTGAACTTCTGTTATGTGGGGAACTGTATTCTTGCCTGAAATGACTTTCCTCCCACTTGAAGTCCTTAATAACAAAACAACTTTGTTGTTAAAAGCTCCGATCGTACTTCAATCAGGTTTCTGCAGATCAAAGTTCTGAGTGGCTAAACGCTACTGGAAAGAAGAGGCTAGTGGGCATCGTGAGGATAGCATCTGTACTGAGTAGATGGACACTGTCCTATAACCTTAGGACAATCATCACACACCACTCGTTATGTCCGTATTTTAGGATACCGGATGTACCGGATGTTATACTGTAAGCATGCCCAGTGGGATTCTGTACTTAAATGCGGGAGAATGAAAGTTGGAGCACGTGCAATTGTGTTTTTTTCTGAAAGTTTAATCTGTGCCATCCGAACAGTACACATGGGAGCAAATACCAGAGTATTTGAATATTATTTTATTGCTTCATGAGGTATCACTCAAAGCTGGCACGAGGACCAAACGCAAGAAGTGAAACCAACCAGTGTCTTGTCAGTTAGAGAGTTGGTCCCTCTCCCGTCTGACTGGTCAAACGTCCTGGCTCTGGAGGAAAATAAAGGTGATCTCGCTTTACTCCTGTCTGATCATCTCATTGAAAACAGCCCCGCAGATAAACTGACAGTGCTTACAGGAGATGGATTTGCAGTCAACAGTCAAGTTGTCTGATCAGTTGGTGCTGATAACGAAGAAGCGGACACTCGGCCGATCCTGCATGCATCTAAGCCCATATGGAGGCGATAGTCATACCATTTCGTGTCACAGCTGTGATTCTTTTACTTCTAGCACACTATGATAGAAAAGCATGTAAAAATCTCTATATGAAAGCTGTCACTTCAAAGGCTCTAAAGTACGTTCCGGTGTATGAAGTTCACAGGTTGCTTCATGCTGACCAAGTAATCACAATACTTGTCTTTCATGCAATGTCAGGATGTAACTCTACATCTCAGTTGAGTGGTCAAAGCAAGGAGAAAGCATGACAGGTGTTCAAGTATCAACACAAGGACCTGATTGGCCTCAGCACTGGTCTTTCCTAAGAAAACATAGCAAAGTTCATCTGTGAGTTGACTGCGTTACACGTTGACACATGCAACAAAGCACGAGTCAAGTTGTTTTGTATAGGTCGTACACTAGAAACTCTTCCATCGACCTCAGATGCTGTCTGGAACCAAGGCGCAATGAGATGGATGTACCTGGGCGGCCAACTTGTGCCAAGGTTCCTCTCTCTGTCTCCTGTCCCATCCAGTTGTAGTGAGATCATATCATGTGGGTGCACGAGGGGATGTACCAGCAAACGTTGTAGCTGTAGGAAACCACGCCTTCCATGCTCTGAGGCATGCTAGTCCAGCACATTTGGTGACAACTGTCGGAACAACAACAACAAAGACGGCGCGAAGACGTACATGCTTATCTATCAGGGTACAAAGACCAGCTTTGTATATTAATTGTTGGTCTTCAGTCAATATGAAAAAGAACTGTCTCTGTCATATTATGTGTGAATTACATGCACTTAGGCAAGGTTCACACAGTGCCGATTATGACTCCCGTTTGAGATCAGACAGCGCTACGACACGAAAAGTAAAAAAGTCGGATTACTTTCCTCAATGATCTGGAATGTCCTTTCATTGTCTGAGCGCAGTCGTATACGTTCGTAACACAGTCCTACGGGTCGGGAAAGGTACAGAGAGGTCGGCCAAGCACTCCCGACAGTATGGTGCGTCCCGTAACATTCGGGAAACTCAGCCGATTTTGCCTAGACGGATTACAATCGTGACTATGTCTATGTGACTAGATTCTGCTGTATCGGATCAAAATCGTAACAGTGTCCTGTGGATCAGGACGCTGTCGTGATGAACGGGCATGAATTGTTCATTGACGTTTCTTGTCGATTGAGTACAGATTGCGTCCAGATCTTGCCGAATGCGAACCGTCTTTGTCGGTTCACTGTCCGGTCACTGTCTGATCTCAATCGTATCGCATTCAGGTGAATCGGGACGCTGTCGGGACAGATTTGGTCGTTTTTTTACCATGCGGAAGATACAAATCGGATCAGATTCGGATTGAGAACGGGAGGATCGGGACAAATTCGGCTGGAAACGGCTGAATTGGGACGCTTCCTGAACAATATCTGATTGTTTGTGAATTTCCAGCCACGAAGCACAGGATCTTGATTAGACTTTTGACAAATTGTAATCGGGAATGGCCCTATCCAGTAAAAATCCTGAATGTGTGACTGAGTCCTAAACGATAAAAGTTGCCTAATACAATCATTAATATGTGTCTAATCAGATTCATTTCACACAATATTACATATACTGATGGAAACAAATAAGGAAACACCACTTCATCCTTTATTTATTCCCAGGTTTGTGCAACACAAAGCTTGCGAAGAAACCCGGAAAAGAATAAATAAACACTTGTTGTTTCCCTTTAGCATATATAACATTGCCATTTATTTTGTTGCCTACTGTAGAGAATTACTCATATGATGCACATACGCACTGTAATATCAAGATACACCCACAACTATCTGGAACATATGACTCATAAATGCAAATTTTACACCAAAAAATACAGACAGCTATAAAAGGTAGTCTCATATATTTATTAACATGATTTGCTCCCACGACTTTTAATAAACACATTTCCACAGATTCTACCTAGTCTACAAGGCAAGACATACAAGACAACAGGCAATATATGCAGAATATGAAAGAATCGCCGATTCTGGACAAAGGTTGATTGTATGTGTATTGCACTTTGGACATCTTAGCAACTCACATGTTCATGGTTTTTGACTTGAGATCTGCCCAGAAGACACGCCCTGTTTCCATGTCAACGTCCAGTGCGCCCGGTCGCTTCATGGCTGGCTGGCGGCGGATGTCGACAACCCGGGGGATGGGGGAGTCCAGTTGGTCTATCACACGGAGTCTTTGCCAATCCACAACAAGAAGGGCAGGGGCAGGACCTACACACGCACTTACCACTCGTCATCCCCAGCACTGTGGTAACACACTTAGATACTGTGGTAACAAACATGCATGTTTATTGCTGTGTGTTACCACAGTATCTAAGTGTGATCATCAGTGTAATGGACCCGTGATAATCAGGGGTAGAATAGGTCTTCAGCAACCCATGCTTGCCGTAACAGGCGACCATGCTTGTCGTAAGAAGGGACTAACGGGATCGGGTGGTCAGACTCGCTGACTTGGTTGATGCATGTCATCGTATCCCAGTTGCGTAGATTGATGCTCATGATATCAATCACTGGATTGTCTGGTCCAGACTCGATTATTTACAGACCGTCGTCATATAGCTGGAATATTGCTGAGTGTGGCGTTAAACAACAAAAAAACAAACAAACAAAGAGAAAATCAGTGTAATGGTCACTTATGTCCTACCTCCATCTAAGTGTGATCAGCAGTGTAATGGACACTTAAATCCTACCTCTATCAAAGTGTGATCATCACGGTGTAATGGTCACTTATGTCCTAACTCTATCTAAAGGTGATCAGCAGTGTAATGGTCACTTATGTCCTACCTCTATCTAAGTGTGATCAGCAGTGTAATGGTCACTTATGTCCTACCTCTATCTAAGTGTGATAAGCACGGTGTAATGGTCACTTATGTCCTAACTTTATCTAAACGTGATCAGCACGGTGTAATGGTCACTTATGTCCTACCTCTATCTAAGTGTGACCAGCAGTGTAATGGTCACTTATGTCCTAACTCTATCTAAACGTGATCAGCAGTGTAATGGTCACTTATGTCCTAACTCTATCTAAGTGTGACGAGCGTGGTGTAATGTTCACTTATTTGCCTACCTCTACCTTAACGTGATCAGCAGTGTAATGGTCACTTATGTCCTACCTCTAAGTGTGATCAGCACGGTGTAATGGTCACTTATGTCCTACCTCTATCTAAGTGTGATAAGCACGGTGTAATGGTCACTTATGTCCTAACTTTATCTAAACGTGATCAGCACGGTGTAATGGTCACTTATGTCCTACCTCTATCTAAGTGTGACCAGCAGTGTAATGGTCACTTATGTCCTAACTCTATCTAAACGTGATCAGCAGTGTAATGGTCACTTATGTCCTAACTCTATCTAAGTGTGACGAGCGTGGTGTAATGTTCACTTATTTGCCTACCTCTACCTTAACGTGATCAGCAGTGTAATGGTCACTTATGTCCTACCTCTAAGTGTGATCAGCACGGTGTAATGGTCACTTATGTCCTTACTCTATCTAAGTGTAATCAGCAGTGTAATGGTCACTTATGGTCTACCTCTACCTAAGTGTGATCAGCAGTGTAATGGTCACTTATGTCCTATCTCTATCTTAGTGTGATCAGCAGTGTAATGGTCACTTATGTCCTACCTCTATCTAAGAGTGATCAGCACGGTGTAATGGTCATTTATGTCCTAACTCCATCTAAGTGTGATCAGCAGTGTAATGGTCATTTATGTCCTAACTCCATCTAAGTGTGATCAGCGCGGTGTAATGGTCACTTATGTCCTACCTCTACCTAAGTATGATCAGCAGTGTAATGGTCACTTATGTCCTACCTCTATCTAAACGTGATCAGCAGTGTAATTGTCACTTATGCCCTAACTCTATCTAAACGTGATCAGCAGTGTAATGGTCACTTATGTCCTAACTCTACCTAAGTGTGATAAGCACGGTGTAATGGTCACTTATGTCCTACCTCTATCTAAGTGTGATCAGCAGTGTAATGGTCACTTATGTCCTACCTCTATCTAAACGTGATCAGCAGTGTAATTGTCACTTATGCCCTAACTCTATCTAAACGTGATCAGCAGTGTAATGGTCACTTATGTCCTAACTCTACCTAAACGTGATCAGCAGTGTAATGGTCACTTATGTCCTACCTCTACCTAAACGTGGTCTGCAGTGTAATGGTCACTTATGTGAGGTTTATATATCGATGTATAGGGGCTACTCCATCCTACTACCAGGGAAGCTCTATGGATGTATAGGGGCTTCTCCATCCTACTACCAGGGAGGTTATATGGATGTATAGGGGCTTCTCCATCCTACCACCAAGGAGGTTATATGGATGTATAGGGGCTTCTCCATCCTACTACCAGGGAAGCTCTATGGATGTATAGGGGCTACTCCATCCTACTACCAGGGAGGTTATATGGATGTATAGGGGCTTCTCCATCCTACTACCAGGGAGGCTCTATGGATGTATAGGGTCTACTCCATCCTACTACCAGGGAGGCTCTATGGATGTATAGGGTCTACTCCATCCTACTACCAGGGAGGTTATATGGATGTATAGGGGCTTCTCCATCCTACTACCAGGGAAGCTCTATGGATGTATAGGGGCTTCTCCATCCTACTACCAGGGAGGTTATATGGATGTATAGGGGCTTCTCCATCCTACCACCAAGGAGGTTATATGGATGTATAGGGGCTTCTCCATCCTACTACCAGGGAAGCTCTATGGATGTATAGGGGCTACTCCATCCTACTACCAGGGAGGTTATATGGATGTATAGGGTCTACTCCATCCTACTACCAGGGAGGCTCTATGGATGTATAGGGTCTACTCCATCCTACTACCAAGGAGGTTATATGGATGTATAGGGGCTTCTCCATCCTACTACCAGGGAGGTTATATGGATGTATAGGGTCTACTCCATCCTACTACCAGGGAGGCTCTATGGATGTATAGGGTCTACTCCATCCTACTACCAGGGAGGTTATATGGATGTATAGGGGCTTCTCCATCCTACTACCAGGGAGGTTATATGGATGTATAGGGTCTACTCCATCCTACTACCAGGGAGGTTATATGGATGTATAGGGGCTTCTCCATCCTACTACCAGGGAGGTTATATGGATGTATAGGGTCTACTCCATCCTACTACCAGGGAGGTTATATGGATGTATAGGGGCTACTCCATCCTACTACCAAGGAGGTTATATGGATGTATAGGGGCTTCTCCATCCTACTACCAGGGAGGTTATATGGATGTATAGGGTCTACTCCATCCTACTACCAGGGAGGTTATATGGATGTATAGGGTCTACTCCATCCTACTACCAGGGAGGTTATATGGATGTATAGGGTCTACTCCATCCTACTACCAGGGAGGCTCTATGGATGTATAGGGTCTACTCCATCCTACTACCAAGGAGGTTATATGGATGTATAGGGGCTTCTCCATCCTACTACCAGGGAGGTTATATGGATGTATAGGGTCTACTCCATCCTACTACCAGGGAGGTTATATGGATGTATAGGGGCTTCTCCATCCTACTACCAGGGAGGCTCTATGGATGTATAGGGGCTTCTCCATCCTACTACCAGGGAGGTTATATGGATGTATAGGGGCTTCTCCATCCTACTACCAGGGAAGCTCTATGGATGTATAGGGGCTACTCCATCCTACTACCAAGGAGGTTATATGGATGTATAGGGGCTTCTCCATCCTACTACCAGGGAAGCTCTATGGATGTATAGGGGCTACTCCATCCCACTACCAAGGAGGTTATATGGATGTATAGGGGCTTCTCCATCCTACTACCAAGGAGGTTATATGGATGTATAGGGGCTACTCCATCCCACTACCAAGGAGGTTATATGGATGTATAGGGTCTTCTCCATCCTACTACCAGGGAGGTTATATGGATGTATAGGGGCTTCTCCATCCTACTACCAGGGAGGTTATATGGATGTATAGGGGCTTCTCCATCCCACTACCAGGGAGGTTATATGTATGTATAGGGGCTTCTCCATCCTACTACCAGGGAGGTTATATGGATGTATAGGGGCTACTCCATCCCACTACCAGGGAGGTTATATGGATGTATAGGGGCTTCTCCATCCTACTACCAGGGAGGTTATATGGATGTATAGGGGCTTCTCCATCCTACTACCAGGGAGGCTCTATGGATGTATAGGGGCTACTCCATCCCACTACCAGGGAGGTTATATGGATGCATAGGGGCTTCTCCATCCCACTACCAAGGAGGTTATATGGATGTATAGGGGCTACTCCATCCTACTACCAGGGAGGTTATATGGATGTATAGGGGCTTCTCCATCCTACTACCAAGGAGGTTATATGGATGTATAGGGGCTTCTCCATCCTACTACCAGGGAGGTTATATGGATGTATAGGGGCTTCTCCATCCTACTACCAAGGAGGTTATATGGATGTATAGGGGCTACTCCATCCCACTACCAAGGAGGTTATATGGATGTATAGGGGCTTCTCCATCCTACTACCAGGGAGGCTCTATGGATGTATAGGGGCTACTCCATCCTACTACCAGGGAGGTTATATGGATGTATAGGGGCTTCTCCATCCCACTACCAGGGAGGTTATATGGATGTATAGGGGCTACTCCATCCTACTACCAGGGAGGTTATATGGATGTATAGGGGCTTCTCCATCCTACTACCAGGGAGGTTATATGGATGTATAGGGGCTTCTCCATCCTACTACCAGGGAGGTTATATGGATGTATAGGGTCTACTCCATCCTACTACCAGGGAGGTTATATGGATGTATAGGGGCTACTCCATCCTACTACCAGGGAGGCTCTATGGATGTATAGGGTCTACTCCATCCTACTACCAGGGAGGTTATATGGATGTATAGGGGCTACTCCATCCTACTACCAGGGAGGCTCTATGGATGTATAGGGTCTTCTCCATCCTACTACCAGGGAGGTTATATGGATGTATAGGGGCTTCTCCATCCCACTACCAAGGAGGTTATATGGATGTATAGGGGCTTCTCCATCCTACTACCAGGGAGGTTATATGGATGTATAGGGGCTTCTCCATCCTACTACCAGGGAGGTTATATGGATGTATAGGGGCTTCTCCATCCTACTACCAGGGAGGCTCTATGGATGTATAGGGGCTACTCCATCCTACTACCAGGGAGGTTATATGGATGTATAGGGGCTTCTCCATCCTACTACCAGGGAGGTTATATGGATGTATAGGGGCTTCTCCATCCTACTACCAGGGAGGTTATATGGATGTATAGGGGCTACTCCATCCTACTACCAGGGAGGTTATATGGATGTATAGGGGCTTCTCCATCCTACTACCAGGGAGGTTATATGGATGTATAGGGGCTTCTCCATCCCACTACCAGGGAGGTTATATGGATGTATAGGGGCTTCTCCATCCTACTACCAGGGAGGCTCTATGGATGTATAGGGGCTACTCCATCCCACTACCAGGGAGGTTATATGGATGTATAGGGGCTTCTCCATCCTACTACCAGGGAGGCTCTATGGATGTATAGGGTCTACTCCATCCCACTACCAAGGAGGCTTTATGGATGTATAATCTCCTTGCTACTTACTACCTTCTAGTCGACACCGGGTTGCGTTGACGAGGATGTATCCCAGGCGACATGTGCAGGTGAAGCCTCCCGGTATGTTGTGGCATGTGTGAGAGCAGGTGCCTGGCTGGCTGCACTCGTCCACATCCTCACACTCACGATGCACTTCTCTGTACCCGGCCTCACATACCTCTAGATGAGGGGAATACAACATTCTTACTACTTATTAGAACACCACAAAACACGAAGCAACCCCGAAAACATGCAACTACTTTATAAATTTTTAGAGTGTCAGGGTTGACACAGGAACAGCAGCATTCAGCTTATGTAATATAGATATATCATACATGTACATGTCTGGCTTCATCCCAATTGATACAACGAAAAGACGTGAATGATAGGTCACAGTCCTAAGAAGAATTTTCAGAAGAAGATCGAAACTCCAAAACAAATCGTAAAATGCACCACTTAATGACTGTGTCGTATGAAGGTCGACCCTGCGATAAACGTGCACGTAAAAACACAATTTAAAGATCATTTCTCAGCGTTTCCGTTGATGTCAATGTAGATTTGAAATAACTAAAACGATCCACCAAATGAAACAGTTTCGGAATTCTGAACATACTTGACGTACGACATGACTTCTCGTCTTCACCAAGTGACATGCCATCTGGACATGCGCACCGAAAGTTGTCTCTTGATCCCTTCCGGACAGCGGGGAGACAGATTAAACAGCCTCTGTTGTCCGAGCCACACACAGCATTCCCTGAAAGAAAAGGGTCGGTGTAATGATGCTTCAATTGGTTTATGGAAAGGGAAAGTAATGCTTGTTACATAGGAATTTCAACTGTTGTGATCCGTATGCTAAGATTAGAGTCCAGAAAGTAACACAACACTGTTAAGATGAATTACGTGGGAGGTGGGGCCAGGAGGTAACACAACACCCTTGAGATGGATTACGTACGAGGTGGGACCAGGAGGTAACAAAGGACTGTAAAGATGAATTACGTTGGAGGTGGGGCCAGGAGGTAACACAACACTGTTCAGAGGAATTACATTGGAGGTGGAGTCAGGAGGTAATACGACACTCTTGAGATGGATTACTTTGGAGGTGGGGCCAGGAGGTAACAGAACACTGTTAAGATGGATTACGTACGAGGTGGGGCCTGGAGGTAACACAGCACTGTTAAGATGGATTACGTTGGAGGTGGGGCCAGGAGGTAACACAACACTGTTAAGATGGATTACGTTGGAGGTGGGGCCAGGAGGTAACACAACACTGTTAAAATGGATTACGTACGAGGTGGGGCCTAGAGATAACAAAGCACTGTTAAGATGGATTACGTTGGAGGTGGGGCCTGGAGGTAACACAACACTGTTAAGATGGATAACGTTGGAGATGGGGGCGGGAGGTAACACAACACTGTTAAGATGGATGACGTACGAGGTGGGGCCTGGAGGTAACATAGCACTGTTAAGATGGATTACCTTGGAGGTGGGGCCAGGAGGTAACACAACACTGTTAAGATGGGGCCTGGAGGTAACACAGCACTGTTAAGATGGATTACGTTGGAGGTGGAGCCAGGAGGTAACACAACACTGTTATGATGGATTACGTTGGAGATGGGGCCAGGAGGTAACACAAGAGTGTTAAGATGGATTACGTTGGAGGTGGGGCCAGGAGGTAACACAACACTGTTAAGATAGATTACGTTTGAGGTGAGGCCAGGAGGTAACACAACACTGTTAAGATGGATAACGTACGAGGTGGGGCCTGGAGATAACAAAGCACTGTTAAGATGGATAACATTGGAGGTGGGGCCAGGAGATAACACAACACTGTTAAGATGGATTAAGTTAAAGATAGGGCCTGGAGGTAACACAACACTGTTAAGATGGACTACGCTGGAGGTTGGGACAGGAGGTAACACGACACTGCTAAGATGGATTACGTTGGAGGTGGGGCCAGGAGGTAACACAACACTGTTAAGATGGGGCCTGGAGGTAACACATCACTGTTCAGATGGATTACGTTGGAGGTTGGGCCAGGAGGTAACACAACACTGTTAAGATGGATTACGTACGAGGTGGGGCCTGGAGATAACAAAGCACTGTTAAGATGGATAACATTGGAGGTGGGGCCAGGAGATAACACAACACTGTTAAGATAGATTAAGTTAAAGATAGGGCCTGGAGGTAACACAACACTGTTAAGATGGACTACGCTGGAGGTTGGGCCAGGAGGTAACACGACACTGCTAAGATGGATTACGTTGGAGGTGGGGCCAGGAGGTAACACAACACTGTTAAGATGGATTACGTACGAGGTGGGGCCTAGAGATAACAAAGCACTGTTAAGATGGATTACGTTGGAGGTGGGTCCAGGAGGTAACACAACACTGTTAAGATGGGGCCTGGAGGTAACACATCACTGTTCAGATGGATTATGTTGGAGGTTGGGCCAGGAGGTAACACAACACTGTTAAGATGGATTACGTACGAGGTGGGGCCTGGAAGTAACAAAGCACTGTTAAGATGGATAACATTGGAGGTGGGGCCAGGAGATAACACAACGCTGTTAAGATAGATTAAGTTAAAGATAGGGTCTGGAGGTAACACAACACTGTTAAGATGGACTACGCTGGAGGTTGGGCCAGGAGGTAACACGACACTGCTAAGATGGATTACGTTGGAGGTGGGTCCAGGAGGTAACACAACACTGTTAAAATGGGGCCAGGAGGTAACACAACACTGTTAAGATGGATTACGTTGGAGGTGTGGCCAGGAGGTAACACGACACTATTAAGGTGAATTACGTACGAGGTGGGGCCTCGAAGTACCACAACACTCTTGAGATGGATTAAGTTGGAGGTGGGGCCAGGAGGTAACACAACACTGTTAAGATGGATTACATTGGAGATGGGTCCAGGAGGAAACAATACACTGTTAAGATGGTTTACGTACGAGGTGGGGCCAGGAGGTAACACAGCACTGTTAAGATGGATTAAGTTGGAGGTGGGACCAGGGGGTAACACAACACTGTTCAGATGGATTACGTACGGGTTGGGGCTGAAGATAACAAAGCACTGTTAAGATGGATTACGTTGGAGGTGGGGCCAGGAGGTAACACAACACTGTTAAGATGGATTACGGCCGAGGTGGGGCCTGAAGATAACAAAGCACTGTTATGATGGATTACGTTGGAGGTGGGGCCAGGAGGTAACACAACACTGTTAAGATGGATTACGTTGGAGGTGGGTCCAGGAGGTAACACAACACTGTTAAGATGGATTACGTTGGAGGTGGGGCCAGGAGGTAACACAACACTGTTAAGATGGATTACGTTGGAGGTGGGGCCTGGAGGTAACACAACACTGTTAAGATGGATTACGTAGGAGGTAGGGCCTGGAGGTAACACGGGACTCTTAAGATGGATTACATTGGAGGTGGGGCCAGGAGGTAACACAACACTGTTAAGATTGATTACGTTGGAGGTTGGGTCAGGAGGTAACACAACACTGTTAAGATGGACTAGGTACGAGTTGGAGCCTGGAGGTAACACAACACTGTTAAGATGGATTACGTAGGAGGTGGGGCCTGGAGGTAACACAGCACTGTTAAGTTAGATTACGTTTGAGGTAGGGCCAGGAGGTAAGACGACACTGCTAAGATGGATTACGTTGGAGGTGGGGCCAGGAGAAACACAACACTGTTAAGATGGATTACGTTGCAGGTGGGGCCAGGAGGTAACACAACACTGTTAAGATGGATTACGTACGAGGTTGGGCCAGGAGTTAACACAGCACTGTTAAGATTGATTAGGTTGGAGGTGGGGCCAGGAGGTAACACGACACTGCTAAGATGGATTACGTTGGAGGTGGGGCCAGGAGGTAACACAACACTGTTAAGATGGATTACGTTGGAGGTGGGACCAGGAGGTAACACAACACTGTTAAGATGGATTACGTTGGAGGTGGGTCCTGGAGGAAACACAACACTGTTCAGATGAATGACGTACGAGGTGGGGCCTGAAGATAACAAAGCACTGTTTAGATGGATTACGTTGGAAGTGGGTCCAGGAGGAAACACAACACTCTTAAGATGGATTACGTTGGAGGTGGGTCCATGAGGTAACACAACACTGTTAAGATGGATTACGTACGAGGTGGGGCCAGGAGGTAACACAACACTGTTAAGATGGATTACGTTGGAGGTGGGGCTAGGAGGTAACAAAACAATGTTAAGATGGGGCCTGGAGGTAACACAGCACTGTTAAGATGGACTAAGTTGGAGGTGGGGCCAGGAGGTAATACGACACTGCTAAGATGGACTACGCTGGAGGTTGGGCCAGGAGGTAACACGACACTGCTAAGATGGATTACGTTGGAGGTGGGGCCAGGAGGTAACACAACACTGTTAAGATGGGGCCTGGAGGTAACACATCCCTGTTCAGATGGATTACGTTGGAGGTTGGGCCAGGAGGTAACACAACACTGTTAAGATGGATTACGTACGAGGTGGGGCCTGGAAGTAACACAGCACTGTTAAGATGGATTACGTTGGAGGTGGGGCCAGGATGTAACATAACACTGTTAAGAGGGATTACGTTGGAGGTGGGGCCAGGAGGTAACACAACACTGTTAAGATGGATTACGTTGGAGGTGGATCTAGGAGGTAACACAACGCTGTTAAGATGGATTACGTACAAGGTGGGGCCAGGAGGTAACAGCACTGTTAAGAAGGATTACGTTGGAGGTGTGGCCAGGAGGTAACACGACACTGTTAAGGTGAATTACGTACGAGGTGGGGCCTTGAGATAACAAAGCACTGTTAAGATGGATTACGTTGGAGGTGGAGCAAGGAGGTAACACAACACTGTTAAGATGGATTACGTTGGAGATGGGTCCAGGAGGAAACACAACACTGTTAAGATGGTTTACGTACGAGGTCGGGGCAAGAGGTAACACAGCACTATTAAGATGAATTACGTTGGAGGTGGGACCAGGGGGTAACACAACACTGTTCAGATGGATTACGTACGGGTTGGGGCTGAAGATAACAAAGCACTGTTAAGATGGATTACGTTGGAGGTGGGGCCCGGAGGTAACACAACACTGTAAAGATGGTTTACGTACGAGGGGTGGCCTGGAGGTAACACAACACTGTTAAGATGGATAACGTTGGAGATGGGGCCAGGAGGTAACACAACACTGTTAACATGGATTACGTTTCAGGTAGGTCCATGAGGAAACACAACACTGTTAAGATGGATTACGTTCGAGGTGGGGCCAGGAGGTAACACATCACTGTTAAGATGGATTTCGTACGAGGTGGGGCCAGGAGGTAACACAACACTGTTAAGGTGGATTACGTACGAGGTGGGGCCTGAAGATAACAAAGCACTGTTAAAATGGATTACGTTGGAGATGGGGCCAGTAGGTAACACAACACTGTTAAGATGGTTTACGTACGAGGTGGGGCCTGGAGGTAACACAGCACTGTTAAGATGGATTACGTTGGGGATGGAGCCTAGAGGTAACACAACACTCTTAAGATGGATTACGTTGGAGGTGGGTCCAGGAGGAAACACAACACTGTTAAGATGGTTTACGTACGAGGTGGGGCCTGGAGGTAACACAGCATTGTTAAGATGGATTACGTTGGAGGTGGGACCTGGAGGTAACACAACACTGTTAAGATGGATTACGTTGGAAGTGGGGCCAGGAGGTAACACAACACTGTTCACATGATTTACGTCGGAGGTGG